AAATTTCGTTTTGTACGTTTTTGCTGGAAAATTATTAATTTTGTTGAAGAGGCATTTTTTTTTATCAAACTAAATGAAGCGCGTTTTACTTAATTGAACGAACTAATTAACGCATGTAAAGCAAAACAGTAAGTCGTAAAATTTGTATTCTCTTCAAATTTCGTGCCTTTTATGACAAACCGTATTTCATGTGTTTCAGATTTTTAACTTTTTTTCTCTGATGTTAATCATGTTTACTGATAATCTTGGTCAAGTTATTTTTTTTTAATCAATACCGTGTATATAGATATTTTTACAAATAAATAAATTAATGTAAATAAGCAATAATAAAAAAGAATTCTCAGCCCTTGCATAAATATTCATTCGGCAGAATGTATACGACATGATTTTCTTTTTTTTTTAACCAGTGCACATCTCTGAAGCTTAATTAAGGTCTTCCGTCTCCAGCGGAAGACCATGTTTTTCTTAAGTTTCTTTTTCACTTTTTTTTCTTGTTTATTTCTTACCGATTTTGTGCACGCGAGTTCTCGTTAATTTTTTTTTTTATAATTTCTTCAAAAATTGATCTTTAAAATAATTGTTAATCTGATTCTCAAATTGAAAGAAAGGTACATGTATTTAACAATGGTTATTTCCATTCTTATGTCGATCTGATATATCCCGGTGAGCTTGAGATAAAAGACACCACAGAGTCTGACACATCTGTTTCATATTTGAATATTTTACTTGAAAAGACGTTAATGGTAATCTAACAACCAAGCTCTATGATAAACGAGACGAATTTAAATTTTCAATTGTCAACTTTTCTTATTTAGACAACATCATCACCTGCATACGGGGTTTATATCTCTCAGTTGATTCGACGTGCAAGAGCATGTTCTATACGTATGTACTATATCTATTGACAAACAAGTTTATGAAACAAGAATATCAGTAATTTAAGGTGTAATGTCCCTCTTGTAAGAACGATGTCTTTCAGATGACTTTTTTTTCATAAAATTCAAGGTATTATCATGTCAGATTTCACTTATAGGACCACTTTGTTGTCAGTTCAAATCGAACCTGTTCTATCGCAGAGATGTTCATTGCTAGTGTCTATTGCCAATATTTTCAATAATTATTTGTAATAGTTTACCTAAAACATTCATACTCACTTCCTTTAAACGGTGTAAATGAGATACTGTAGATCACTAAATTTTCGCGAGATAATCATTGACTCTTGATTAGCGAGACAATATTTTAGCGAATTGAGGTTATTGCTCTATATATTCTAAAGGAATACTATTATACGCGAGAATTAAATTTTCGCGAACACACTGTCTCGCGTTATTACGCGAAAATAAAGTTTTCGCGAATAAAAAGTGATTTACAGTATTTCTATCTTTTAACGTATTAGTTCGTTAACTGTTACAGAAATTTCAGATACAGAATTGTTTATTAACATTTAATTAATAATTTGTTTCCCTATGAATATTTTCATGGGCGATAATGGAAAGGTAACTCTTGGTATGAGAGTGAATATTATTTTCATGTATACATGTACCACATGTTTCTAAATTTTTTGTGAGATAAAAAAAAATTGATCTTTTTATTTACCATATCAAATTTTCTTCACATGATGATATTACATATTATACATTTCTGAAAAAGCAACGATTCATACTTTGAACTATTTTCCATTTGAATCTAATGCTTCTGTTGTTGATGAAAATCAGTGTTTGGAGTTTAAAAAATAAATTGTGAAATTTGGAGCAGAGGGATATTTCAATTATTTCAATTTCGTTAGTTCTAGGATCGATGCAATGACGTTGTCAGCAAATACAATAATCACTGACTCAAACGCTGACTGAAGTTTTTCATACTAATTATTAGACCATTATTTACACACTGAATCAACAACGGATTTTTCTATCATTTCCTAATCATCGTAGGTGTGACCGGTCAGCAAGGGATGCTCACTCCTCCATGGAACCTGATCCCATCTCTGTTGTTTTGGAGGTCCGTGTTTGTCTCTGTTCCTGCTTTGTATTGTTTTTATGGACTTTTGAGCTTGTCTAATACTGTTTGTCATTTCCATATACGAGTATTTCAGTAGAATAGTTTTATTTCATTCTTATACCATTTTTCAAATTCCCTCTTACTGCATATTTTGTAATTCAATAGAATCAGAAACCACGGCCCATCAACTCGATGTTAATCATCTGTTAAAACAAAAAGAAAAAAATCAATTTTCCTTAATCAGAGAATTAAGTAAATAATTATTTATAATCTATAATGATAAATAAGTCTTACATGTACATGTATTATTTTTTTTTACAAATCCATTTTTAGTTTATTTTAAGGGTCAGTGAAATAATATCAATATTTATTTGAAATATAATAGGTCGTTCTGAAAATATCCATTCTAAAGTATTTTGAACTATTTTGCGTGAATAATCGTGCGATTGCATTTACAAGCAATCGTAAAATGTCGTTAAATGTTAAGACTTGTATACGTTAAGACTCGTTCGTGAAACATGTTTAATCGCGCGGAATCGTTCGTGTAATGTGATCGGTTAAGTTGTCAACAATAACGTTGAAGCCACTGTAAAGTAATTTAAGATATTTGTCATATAACAATCTCATTGTACATTTTATTCAGCTCACAATGTCCTCGAATCCTGTGATAGTCAGTGAGCCATTGTCTCCGGTCACGGGGTCATCCCCTCTTGCCTTACTTCTCCCTCTAGGCGTCGCGTCAATCTGCGGCACCGCCTTTTTGTCAAGTATATTAATCACTTTTTATTATATATTTATAAAAAAGTTGGTTGGCTTTTGTTCATTTGTGGAACATAGCTCATGTAAAGGGCAAAGTATTTACAAATCTCATATTTTTATTTCAGGTATCAGTATGCAGGCGATGAATGCTGAAAAATTGCAAGGTATTGTTTTGTTTCATTTAAGAAAAACCAGTAAAAATGATTATAAAATCAGTAACACATTGACTTACATCTCGTACGTAGAGCAATCAAAACGAATAAGTCTGAATGTCTTACCTTTAACATATACGAGGGTTATTCAAAACGTTCGTAGACATTTGTCCTAACTTTTTTATTTAACGTCATATTATATCCAAATTTGGTACAAATATTTTAACAACAGATTCAAATAACGAGTAAAAGAATTGGAATGTATCTTCATATTGATTTAAATTACTAAGGATTTAGAACAGCAAAAATGGGGTCACGGAGCACCGTAAAAGTTGAGTAATTTACTAATTTTCGCTTTATAGTATCTACAGCCATACCTCTCATAAATGGAGCTGAAACGAAAAAAATTACAGGTTAAAATAAAGTATTACTGTATTAGTTAAATGAAATCAGGTTATGTAATATGTCGCTCCATTTAAAAGATATCAGTTTCTAAATACATATGGACTTGATTAAAAAAAGCAAAAAACATGACGTTGGATGACGTCACGGAGCAGCTATAGTAGCAATAAAATTGTACTTTACATTCGGGAAACTTCTTCTACAAGCTTAAAAAATCCGAATAAAGCATGATCTGTATGAGAAAAATCTTTGTATTTGTATTGAATGGAAAATACAAATTTTAAGTGGTAGCGAGTTTGAATCGGACGATGGATTGTCTGCAAAGAAACAGGTTAAAGTTAAAAATATTGTCAAAAGAGTTAGGAACGTCACTGAACGTGATGTATGCTTCACTGTTGCAGAATTAATAGAATTACATGGTAAATTACAGAATTTGAAAACAATGACATTCTTATTCAAGCTATATTTGTACAATTGTTCGCAAACTCTGTGTTAAGTGTTATGGATATGTTTTTTTGAATGGAGAAGACGTTACAAACCTTGTTTTAAATTAAGAATTACATGTAAGTATAATTTTGACAAACTTTCTCAACGTTGTCTTTGACGTTACAATGTTGGTTAACCGTGCTCCGTGGTAACAAAACATGTTGGTTTAAATTTTGGCTAACATGAGTTCTATTTAATCAAATGGAATGAAACTTCACACTTCGACAAAATAAATGTTTTTGTTTACGAAAATGTGTTGATTTATAATCTTTTAATTATAATATGACGAAGAGAAGCATTGTCTACGTATTTTTTGAATGATCCTCGAACATGTATATCTCGATCAGTAATACTTATTCTTCCAGAAATTCAACACAATTTTTCGGAGCTTGAAAGAGAGAGAAGAAACTGTAAGAAGGATTTGGAAGACTGCGAAAAAGAGAGAGATATTTTGAAAACGGAAGAAAATGAAAATCTAAAAAAGTGTCTTGCGGATCTTGAAACGGCAAGGGTGCCTGGTAAGTTCCGAAAAAAGGGTAACAAAAAGATCTCATCTACAAAAAAAATTATTATAAAAGGCAACATTAAACAATGGCCATCGGTGAAACTGCTTAAAGAATCCGATTATGGACAGAGTAATGGGCCCGAAAACAAAGAGAATCAAAACTCTACTTAGACACTGCAGGGCATAGTACATGTATTTGTCATCCAGTACCTCAAAATATAAGGCTAGAAACCTTATGATATAACTGCTTAAAGACATGCAGGACATAGTAAATGAGAAATATACAAAAAATGAAAATAAATTTTGATAAATAGATAAGCCCAAAGGTTTTGAAACCATAATAAACATCTCTTGAACATAAAGCATATTCAAAATTTACCAAAAAATTATGTAACATAGTAGTTTTATCGAACTAGACAAATCTACTTTTTTTCTTATGTGGTCGATTTTTAATGAATACGATGCCCGATTACATGTATCTAAACTAAAAACTCGCAAACAACCGTTCTATCCCTCAAAAACTGAGAGAGAGAGAGAGAGAGAGAGAGAGAGAGAGAGAGAGAGAGAGAGAGAGAGAGAGAGAGAGAGAGAGAGATGGCACGTTGTGTGAAAAGCAACACTGCTTACTTCAAATTGAATTAAAGATTAAAGGATGCACATTTACATGTACTTATATTTAAAAGAAAGCAACATTAAATGCCGTGATTTATGTTTTCTTATTGTTTCTTTCTTAGAACAAAGGACTGTAATAATGTGCGGGGCCGATGATGGAGAAATCCGATGTGAAAACTCCAAAACTCTAACTATTGTGTCTGCCAACTATGGACGCACCGAGCCTACAGCCCAAGTCTGCCCATCTACTTCTGCTTCGATGGACGATACAAACTGTAGATTAGATGTTCTCAACAAGGTGTCTGAAGTATGCAACGGTAAAACACGATGTGCTGTTCCAACTAGATTGAATGACTTCGGAGGGTCCAGTGTCAACCCCTGTCCTAACACCTATAAATATACAGAAGTTCAATACATTTGCTCGTAATAGTTTCATTGGCTTTTAATTTCTATATGGTTGAAAATGTAAATATAATGAACTAACTTTTTGAAGCAAAAAGAAATCACTGATAGTACCAACAAGATTAATTGACTTTGATGAGTCTTGGAAATTCAAGGAATTTGCTTCTAATCGAAACGAGAACAGCGAATACATATATGTAATCAGGTACTTTAACAGCGAGTCAAATAAAACAAAGCACAGTGTCTAAGCATTATTTCTTGCTTTTTTATTTTTGCATATATCTTATATCTACAAATAGAATTACACATTTTAGACCTGAGCTCAAGACCATAAACTGAGAATAGACTTCAGTCAAAATTTCAAATTATTATAACTTTTGAAATAAAATGTAATTTTAAAAACAGAACATAATTTTTACCATATGTAAAAATTGTAATATAATGATGAAACTTGACAATTTGGCGTAACTGTTATAAATGACAAGCTATTCAAATTCAAAAATTTGACCTGAGGTTGTTCGCAATTTATGGTCTCCAGGCTGGTACTCGAACGCCAGTAAGGGTCATTTAGCAGAAAGGGATCTTTTTTCGTACAAACTTTTTCTGTGACGTTTCACCTCAGTTTATACAGTCATATTGAAGGATCGGTCTCTTTCTCCCGCTATGGAACGATCTAACCCTACCCTTCACAACCAACTGATTCTGGATTTAAACATGCTGTTGCACGCCTGTCTGATGAGTGATATGGGTTTTCAGAATGATCGTCGATGAGATACATAATATAACCCCTATTTCACCGTTCAGAATGGATATAATTATTATTCTTTGTAGATCAGGACCGTAGGAAGGAATTTCAGTCGGGGTGGGGTGGGGATTACAGCAATATATTTTTAGTTGGGGTACTATCTCCCCCCCCCCCCCCCAGCCTATGGCAATAAAGATTGAATATGATAAATATTGCGCACATAAAATCCTGTCCTATATATCTTTATATCATTTCTTTATATCAAGAATCTCGTCCTCTTTCTCTCCTTTTCTGCATGTGGGTTTAAGTGTTGATTTTCATAAAAAAATTATGAGTCAAACCGAAATCAATCTAGTCAATGACAAAATAGGACCCACCGCATTTTTTGTTTGTGCGAGACTAAAAGTTGTTAAATCGGTGAGAAGGTGCGTGTTATTCAGGTTACACGAAGAAGTGTACTTTTCCAGGACCCTTAAACAAGATAAACAATTTATTCATTGCAACAATATACATTGATACATGTATATAAATGTGTTAATTAAAGGAACTTTCCTACCCATCCTTCATGTTGTCTATTTTAAAACTAGCCCCCTCCTCAATGAACTGATAAAAACTTGAGATTAAATTATTTTGTCCACACTTTTGCCCAAATAAATAAATTAGAATGGGAAACGAAAGATTTTTGAAAAATTACATATTATGATTTATAAACTTTTAAGTATCCAGCATTCAACTTCGTGGTAGAGAGATTGCCGTGTATATTAAGTGCATTATTAATAATTCTTCTCAGAATATAGAGGAAATTAATTTTCATTCTTATGTAGTACTATATGGACATTTTCTTTCTTGACAACATTTAAAACTACCTGTTACCCATTGATACGGTCCATGATTTACTTTCATTTGGGATTTGGTTTCTTCCTTTGTTACCCTTTGGCATCGCAATGGCCAAGCAAGTAGCAACCTTTTTTTAGACACAATTTCTTCCATAGGAAAGGATTATTGAAAGTTCGGTTGTCACCACCCACTTTTGGTTTCAGTATTGTTAAATAAGGCTGATATAAGGGCAATGCAGTGTTTGAGTAAAAAAAAAAAAAAGGCACTTAACCCACACGAAATTGGATTTTCGAGTTTGGTCATTTCTTTTAGCGTATCAAGCTTTTTCAGGTAAGTTGAAAAAAAAAAACTCCTTGCCCCCCCCCCCTCCCCAATTAAAAAAAATATGCTAGGTGATTTGATCTTGTTATGGTCTTTTATTTGTAAGCCTCATTACATAAATGTATTAGGGGAACTTGGGATTAATTCTACAAGTGATAATCCAATTTATACTCATAGCTCCGTTTCTAAGGGGGAACGTCTTCAAAACCAAATATGATTGTCAGTTTTGAATATTTTTAATATTCCAAACAACCAGAATGAATTTGAATTGACATATCTAT